TTGCCTATCCACTCAATTTTTTCGTTCTGAATCCATTGCCAAGGTTCTTTTTATCATCTGAGACCTTATACTCAATTTCCTTCCTAGGGTTGTGTGCATGGTTAATTTACCGTTTTGCCCTTTCTTTGTATTTTGGCCTAATTTTCAGGATTTTCACTAATCCTTTCTTTTAATTCTCATTTAATATATTAATATTTAAATTAGAATTGCGTGGTGTTATAACCAACACATCACCAGGTCAACCAAAAGGACAAGGAACGAACCAAAAAATGAACAAAAATGTCAGAGGAAAAAGCAAAGAAAAAGGGAAGAGCCATGCAAAAGAATGCAGACAAAAATATCAGAAAACCTCCCTTCAAGGGAAGAAAAGGTTCAAAAAGAAAATAGTGTTCCCCCAAATAGAAAAAGTCAAGTTCAAAAACACAATTGTAAACGTTCCTTGGCCCCATGATTATGACCACCATTCTACCACACCTCCATAAACCCTCTTCTCAAAAGATCCTTGGAAGGGAAGACATATGCACTGCATAGGAAAGCAGCAGAAAAGCAAGTTCTGAAGAATCACATCCAGGAAAGGAAAGAGTAAACACCAACCCTGAGTGATAGTGAGACAGAAGATCAGCAACCTTCACTTACCATGGAACAAATTCTTCTTACTTGTCACCTATGGAGAGTAGCTCATTTTTTTGAAAAGTTTATGATTGCTCACTGGCTCAAGTTTTTTTTTTTCTGTTGAGCTATTCTTTGAAATTGGGCAGTCTAATACAATATTTCAGAGTTGTTTGAGGACAACCAACAGTTTAGTTTTGGGGTGTTTGATGAGACGTAAATTCGTTCCCATCTAAGCCCATTTTGATGGTAAAATACCTTAGGTTCCCTCATCTGATGAGCAACTTCAGCATGAAATTCACTTGTTTTACACATTTCTGACAAAAACACAGTGGGGGAACATATAATGATGTATTCCTTTAAAATATATTAAAAGGGGAACGGACTGAGAAGCATTTAATGCACTTGCTCCACTCATTTAATGCCTCTGCCCCTTTTGCAGGAAACGTGGAAACGAAGTCTTCTAAAAGCAGAGGCGGTGCACCACTTAAGCACTAGGAAACGTGAAGAGCAGAGAATCAAGAGTTCTCATTGGCCAAGAAGAAAGCAAGGCATGTGGGGACTGCAAAAAATGACTAATCATCAACAAATACTGTCCCATCAAGCAATTTACAAAGCTTCTAAACACTGTTGCCACCGACCCGTCCCTTCATTCAAGAAACCAGCTCCAAAGGATTTACAAGACTGCCATCCCTCTTCTTCCTATTAATAGGACGTCCCAAACACAAAAACATCATCGAATTCTGGAGGGATTGAAGTCCTAAAAGAAGAGATCACCTAATAGTTAGTAGTTAAGTTTTATATAGCTGTAACTGTAGTTAAGTAACAACCCTTCTTCTCTGTTCTGTATCATCCATTAAGACTCCCCACGAGCATCAAACCATCTTCTCCATTTTATACTTTGTTGTAATCTTTCTTGTTTGATTTCAATATAAGTGTTTCTTCTTTTTGTTCCATTCGTTATCTATGAGCTGAATCTCGGGTCTATGGGACTTAAGTTTAGAATAATTATGTTTTAAATATCAGCCATGGGCTGAACTATCTATGGAACGGATAAACAGCAACACTCTTAAAGAATTATTTTCGAAACTCTTGACTGAAGCTTTTTGTATTTCTTTGGCTAAGTAAGCTATATTCATTGTGTATCTATAGAAATTGAACACATCCTGAGAAAGGAACTTCTATAAAGAAGGGATTTCAGGCAGCTTAGCCATTGGGGGCAGGTAGTGTCATGGCAAAAACACTATTGGTCACCTTAGGAATAAGGGGCCGCTTCGTCCACTTTAAGGTTCTGTACTGAGTACTTGTTGGAGTCAAGGGAGCCATAAGAATATGGAAACTTGTGAGCCATCTAGTCCATGAGCTGAGGAATCGAAGTTGGCAGATAAGAAACTGGGACAAAGCCAAAAATTGCTAAGTCTTGAGCAGTGGAAATAACTGTTTAAGAATGGAGCAGTGAATTCGTTCCTTCTGTTAAACTGTTTTTAAAACCATCCACTTGTTGTCTCTTAATTATAATTATTACTGTTTTATTATTTTTACTTTATTTAATCTTGTATCTACCAAATCTCCAATGATTATTATCTCACCTTCTTCTAAACAAGAAGGATCACATATATAACGCAACGAGCAATTGTTTGCCATTAAACTGAACTTACTGTTCCTGAGGAACGTTGTCAAGACAGTAGGGGACGTTTGACCAGCCAGTTCATTCACTAACTTTTCTTCTCATTTTCATTCTTTATAAAATAGTATAAGACAATATTTAGAGTTTTATCCTCGTGGGAACGATAATCTGGGCCTTAAATACACCCATTATTACTTGATGCGTGCACTTGCGCACTTGGGTTGGAAGTAAGGGAACAAATCTGTGTTCTATCACCAAGAGAGAACAAAGGAACGTCCCCTATCAGAACTTATATTTTTTCACCATCAGCAAGCCACCCTAAATGTTCCACGATGCCCAAGTTGGGGGTGATGGTTGGACGTGTGCTCTTTGATAATGTGTGTAATAGTATGTTCATGCATTATTGACATGTCGATTGACATGCGTGTGGCATATTGTATGATATTGCAATTGTGATCTCTGGCCAGTAGATGTGTTGGTTTGGGCTTCTGCCTGTTTATGCTCCTTTGTGGAGTTTCGGCCGGGTTTTGTCGTAGAGTCGTCTCTGGGAGCGGCACTAGGAGATCAAAACGTGGGATTTTCGCTAAATAGGTCTCCTTGGGAGTTTCAGTTGGGTTTGCCATGAAGCCTTTGAACCATAGGAGAGGCGCCAAGAAGCGTCCCGGGAGAAGTTTGATGGGGACCTTGAACGGAATCCTTGCATGGATGTTCTTCGGTTGTGTCCAGTTGGTTATGTGATTTTGTATGTTATACTGTTCATATATGTATCATTTCATGCACATTGAGTGAGCCCTTGGGCAGAGTGACCCTCCAGTACCCTTAGTTTACTAAGATATATATGTATATCTCACCCCTCTTTGGGGCACCATTTCAGGTTCAGGTGAGCACATTGGAGCTTCGGGCAAGAGGCCTGATATGCCTCCAGCATAGATATGATTTTAAGCCAAAAAGATTAAGAATCTTGATTAAACTTGAATAAAAAGGGATTATAATTACTACTAAATTGATAAGTCCTAATCAAATATCTTGTCACTGATTTTCTTATATTTTAGTAGGAAAAAGAACAAGAAAGAAGCCTAATTGAGTGGCACACAGAATTACAAGATTTGATCACCACGCTACTAGCGCGGAGCTGGCGCTATCAGCGCCAGCATTACTTTTAAACACATAGCCACCACGATACTAGCGCGGCACTGGTGCTATCAGCGCCAACTATTTCTGCCAACCACGCTATCAGCGCGAATGTCACGCTAGTAGCGCGAAGCAACTGCCTCCAGAATGAACTCCCGCGCTATCAGCGCCAACCTGGCGCTAGTAGCACGGAAAGCACGTGACAATTTTGATTTTTATATCAGAAAGTATCCGGAGGAGATTGAAATCAATAGATATGATAAGGATTTCTAAACAAGGGCACAAAGTCTATAAAAAGAGACTAAGACCCCAGAGAAAAACATCTTTGGCTGGAGAGAATTGTGAGAATCAGAGAATTGAGAGAATTCTTGGAGACTCACGCTGGAGATCAGGAATACCAATGAGGTTGAAGACCGAAGACATTGATTCTTCTGCTTCATCTTCTTCTTCTTTTCTATTACGTTTATGAATACTTTTTATTATTTCGATATGTTAAAGTTAGATATGTCTGGCTAAGTTCTTTTTGTAGTTGGGATCACGGATTCAATGTGAATCCTTTTTAATTTTTAAATTTTTTTTATAATTAATTTAATTTAGTTAGTTTTATTCTACCTGTGTTAATTTTTCCACATCCTTTATAGAACTGATCACTCTATTATAGGGTTTTGAGGGTTAGAGCTCACAATAGACATATTGGGGTTTTAATCTGGACAAGGATAGAATAGCAATCCATGCATGACCTAGACATAGGCTCACATAGATTGCAGGCTTTTAATTCATTTGCTTAATGCTTAATTCAAGAGGATTTACTAGGACACTAGAATTCTAATTGGTTTTAATGGTTGTAAACACTAAGCCATTAGGATTCAACTATTTAATAGGAAACTAATGAATTGTCTGAGCTAATAAATTAGTTAGTTATAAAATACAATTTAGAAATATAAGGGAGGATTGGAGGTGAAGTGCATCGTGACTTCAGCTTCTTTTATGATTTTTAATCGCTCATATTTTCTTGAAGTTCTTGATATTCTTGAATGCTTTTGAATATTATTGTTTTTAAATTTATGTTTTTAAATTACGATCAACAAATATTTTCACAATCAAACTAACTTAATATTTGGTGCATTAATTCTCGAGGGAACAATATCTTACTTATCACTTTATTACTTGAAACGAATGGTATACTTGTCGATTCGCAATAAGTTTTTGGCGCCGTTTCCAGGGATTAATTACGCAAATATTAGTTTTAACTTTCGATCTTTGAGATTGAAATTTTTATTTTTATTTTTTTACTAATTTGATTTCTCTGTTTTATGCGAGGTAAAGTAGACCGAGAAACTTTACAATTTGATCTAGAAATCGAGAAGACTACAAAGAAGAATCAGAAATTAACCAAGCTACGGAAGCAAGAGGAATCCTCGAGTTCAGAGCCAAAATCAGAATTCGAGATGGCAGCTCCTATGAAGACCCCCATGATTTCGTGGATAGATTTCTAAGAATCTGTGACACTACCAAGCATCATGGGCTATTAGATGATGCAATTAGACTCCGGTTGTTCCCTTTTGCTGTAACCTGGAAAACTCTCAGATGGTTGGATCGACAAGCTCCCAAGTTCTTCGCTAAGCACTTTTCCATGGAGAAATACAACAAGTTGGTCAATGAAATTACCAACTTCACTCAACAGCCACGAGAGACTCCGTGTGCAGCTTGGATCAGATTCCAAGAACTGATCAGAAAATGCCTCCAGTATGATTTTCCAAACGGGAAGAAAGTCAGGGTCTTCTACAATGAGATGACACTAGATTCCAGAATGATTGTCAATGGTGCAGTTAGTGGAACCATAGGGAAGAAGACAACAACTCAAACTTTAGAGCTGATTGACTATATGGCAAAGAACGAGAATGCATCTATGGCAGTTCAACCGGTTCAACCAAGGAAAGGACTTCTGCAATTGGGAAATAATGATGCGGTGTTAGTTGAACAGAAGATTATATCTCAACAGCTCGCCAGTATGAATGCTAAGTTGGACAAGATGCAAATTTCTACAACTCAAGTTAATTCAGTTAACTTTGAGTATTGCAAAGGAGAGCATGAGACCAACGAGTGCCCCACACTTGTAGGATCAGATGCGTTCCAAGTTAATGGAGTCTGGTATGATCCAAGACCACCGCAGAACTTCCAGAGGAACCAGAACAATGCTCTAGGGAACAATTTCCAAAGGAGAGTTCAAAGGGGAGGTTTGGATTACAAATTCAACAATTACTTACAACCTCCTCCTATTCCACATAAGGAGTCGTCTGAATTGGAGAAAGCGATGTTGCAGCTTTCTAAAACCACCAATGACTATATCCAGACCACTGGCGCTTTCATGAATGAGACAAGAGCCTATCATAAGAATCAAGATGCTTCAATCCGGAACTTGGAGAATCAGATAGGCCAATTGTCTAGGCAGCTTGCTGAGCGAATTCAAGGACAATTTCCAAGTAACACCATAGTCAATCCGCGAGAAGACTGCAAGTCGATTTTTATAAGAAGCGGAATTGTGATTACTCCTTAAGAAAAGCCAAAGGTGGTTCAGAAAAAGAAAGCTAACAAACCAGTTATTGAACCAGAGCAAGAAAAAGAGGAGGAAACACTTGCAAAATAAGAGCCTGCGAAAAAAAACAAAGACGAGGCAAAGGAGAAAGCTAAGAGACTCCAAAGAAGTAATGGGATTTCTCTCGCTATGAGAAACCATAATATCCTATAAAGTCAAAGCAGCAAGCACAGAAACAACAATATGCCAGGTTTTTAGAAATGTTTAAAAAGTTGCAAATAAATATTTTTTTTGCTGAAGCTTTAGCTAACATGCCTAACTATGCTAAGTTTATGAAAGATCTTTTGTCTAGAAAGCATAAATTGCAGGAATTTGAAACAGTGGCTCTCACAGAGGAGTGCAGTGCCATAATTCAGAAGAAGTTTCCACCAAAGGTTCGAGATCCATGGAGTTTTAACATCTCGATTGCGATAGGCAACATTAATGTTGGTCGGGCATTGTGTGATCTTGGAGAAAACATCAACCTTATGCCACTTTCAGTGATGAAGACTCTGGGAATTTTTGAGCTGAAGCCTACTATGGTGTTTCTCCAACTTGCTGACAGAACATTGAGAAGACCAAACAGAGTAATAGAAGATGTACTTGTCAAGGTATATAAGTTCATCTTCCATGCAGACTTCGTAGTCCTTGAAATGGAAGAAAAAGGAGACATGCCTCTTTTGTTGGGTAGGTCGTTCCTTGCCACAACTAGAGCCATGATTGACATGGAGAAAGGAAAGCTGGAGCTGAGAATGGATGGCGAAAAAGTTACCATTAATGTGTTTGATGCTACGAAGCACGCTGAAGATAATAGAGACTGCTTCCGGGTGGACATTCTTGAAGAGCTGTTCCTGGAAAAGAAATATGATTGGACTCTTGAAGAAGAAGTAGAATTCTTTGACGAGAACCCTCCAAAGGAAAATGCTAAAATTCCAATGGAAGAGTTAAAGAATAAAGAGTGAGACATCACAGCTGAAGCACCAAAGGTGGAATTAAAAGAGCTTCCATCTACTCTTAAATACGTCTTCTTAGGAGATGCAGAGACGTATCCTATCATAATCAACAAAGAGTTATCTAATTATGAAGAAATCAAGTTGATGAAAGTACTCAAAGACCACCAAACAGCCATAGGGTGGTCTATCTCTGATCTAAAAGGAATCAATCCTTCCTTTTGCACTCACAAAATACTTATGGAGGATAACATCAAGCCTGTGAGGCAGCCTCAGACATGACTCAATCCTACCATGAAAGAGGTAGTTCGAAAGGAAGTGGTGAAACTCCTTGATGCCGGCATGATTTACCCAATCTCGGACACTGCATGGGTAAGTTCAGTTCAAACCGTGCCAAAGAAATTTGGAGTTACAACAATCAAGAACGAAAACAATGAACTGATTCCCACCAGAACTATAACTGGTGAAGGATGTGGATTACAGAAGACTAAATGATGCCACACAAAAGGATCACTTTCCTTTCCCCTTCATTGATCAGATGCTAGAAAGACTGTCTGGACATGCATACTACTACTTTTTAGATGGGTATTCCGTCTATAATCATATACTTGTTGCACCAAAGGATCAAGAGAAGACAACTTTCACTTTCCCCTTTGGAGTGGTCGCCTATAGAAGGATGCCATTCGGCCTCTGCAACGCACCTGCTACTTTTTAAAGGTGAATGTTTTCCATCTTTTCTGATATGATTGAAAAATCATTAGAGGTATTCATGGATGAATTTTCTATTTTTAGTTCTTGCTTTGATCCATGCTTAGTTAATCTATCTAAAGTATTGAAGCGTTGTCAAGAAACAAACTTGGTTTTAAACTGGGAAAAGTGTCATTTTATGGTAAAAGATGGAATAGTGCTAGGTCATAAAGTTTCTGAAAAAGGGATAAAAGTTGACAAAGCTAAACTATTATTAATTGAAAAACTTCTCCCCCATTCTAACGTTAATGGTGTTTGAAGCTTCATAGGCCATGCAGGTTTTTACAGAAGATTCATCAAAGATTTCTCCAAGATTGCCAAGCCTTTGAGTCAACTCTTGGTGAAAGACACTCAGTTTAACTTTGATGAAGAGTGTCTGAAGTCCTTTAATCTGTTGAAGGAAAAATTGACGACCGCTCCTGTCCTGATGGCGCCTGATTAGAACCTTCCATTTGAGCTCATGTGTGATGCGAGTGCATACGCAATAAGAGCAGTCTCGGTCAGCGTAAGGATAAATTGTTGTATGTTATTTCTTATGCTAGCAAATTGTTAAATGAGGCAGAAGTTAATTATGCCACAAATGAAAAAGAAATGCTAGCTGTAGTTTATGCATTAAATTGATTTAGACCTTATTTGATAGGATCTAAAAATATTATTTTTACCGACCATGTTGCATTGAAGTATCTAATGAGTAAACAGGATGCAAAGCCACGACTGCTTTGTTGGATGCTTCTGTTCGAGGAATTTGATCCGGAGATTCGAGACAAGAAAGGATTTGAGAACAAGGTAGCTGATCACTTGTCAGGTATTCAAGACAAAGAACTACAAGATGGACCTGAAATTGAGATCAAAGAATCCTTCCCTGATGAACAAGTGATGGCAGTTTGATTTGGACCATGGTTCGCAGAAATTGCAAATTGCAAAGCTGTAGGATCACTTCCTGAAGACCTCACATGACAACAGAAAAAGAAGTTCTTGCATGATGCAAGGAGGTATCACTGGGATAACCCATTCTTATATTTTCAATGTACTGACGGGATTATTTACAAGTGTGTAGCTGCATTCAAAATTTCAAAGATTCTTTGGCATTGCCATGCATCGGATTATGGAGGGCACTTTGGTGGAAATAGAACACCGCAGAAGGTCCTGCAAAGTGGGTTCTACTGGCCCACAATATTCAAAGACTCGAAGGAGTTTGTAGAGAAGTGCGACAGATGTCAGAGGACGGGAAACATCTCCCGAAGAGACGAGATGGCACTGAATTGTATTCTGGAAGTGGAAGTCTTCGATGTATGGATAATTGACTTCATGGGACCCTTCCTATGTCATATTCTAACTAATACATCTTGGTTGCTGTGGACTACATGTCCAAGTAGGTAGAAGCAGTAGCTTTACCCACGAATGATGCTAAGGTGGTGGTGTCCTTTCTGCAGAAGAACATCTTTACCCAATTCAGAGTTCCAAGAGCCATCATCAGTGACAGAGGGACCCATTTTTACAACAAGCAATTTGAGAGTCTTCTCACGAAGTATGGAGTCACGCACAAGGTGGCTACACCATATCATCCTCAGACAAGTGGGCAAGTGGCGATATCCAAGAGAGAGCTGAAGTGGATCCTGGAGAAGATTGTGGGAAATTCTAGAAAAGACTGGGCAAGGAAGCTTGACGATGCACTCTGGGCATACCGAACAGCCTTCAAGACTCCTATAGGTATGTCATCATTCCAACTGATGTATGGTAAGTCCTGTCATCTTCCTGTTGAATTAGAACATAAAAATATATGGGCAACTAAATTTCTAAACTTTGAACCAACTAAGGCTAATGAAAAGAGATTATTGTAATTACATGAGTTGGATGAGTTCTGGTTAGCTGCTTATGAGAATGCCAGGATATACAAAGAGAAAACAAAGAGGTGGCATGACAAGAAGATAGCTCAAAAGGAGTTTGAGCCGGGACAACATGTATTATTGTATAATTTTTTACTGAGATTGTTTCAAGGTAAACTCAAATCCCGTTGGTCAGGTCCCTTTGTGGTTAAAAAGTTATACCCCTATGGCACAGTAGAAATTTCACTTATAGACACTAATAATCCTTTCAAAGTTAATGGCTATAGGTTGAGGTTATACTATCGAGGACAGGTGAATAGGGACAAGGTTTCTGTCCCTCTGGCTTCACCCGAACTTTAGACTATTCGTGTCAGACTCGTGACATTAAACAAGCGCTAATTGGGAGGCAACCCAATAGTAAATTTTTCTTATTTAATTATTTTATTGATTAGGTTAGTTTAAATTTAACAAGTCAATAATTGGTGAATTAGTGACCATATGGAAAAGTTTTAAAACTGGGAATTGGGGCTATCAGCGCCAAACTGGCGCTACTAGCGCCATTAAAAAGAGGTAGTAAGTCCACGCCAATAGCGCGAAACTGGCGCTATTAGCACCAAAAACTTCAGGATCAAGTAGCTCCGCATTGACAGCGCCAATCAGGCGCTCTCAGCGCCAAAATTCCATGAAAAATTCGCGCTAACAGCGCAAGATTCAATCTGTCAACGTCAGAGAGTAAAAATCTTCCAGTAGCTCCGCGCTAACAGCGCGAGATCCGTGCTGAGAGCGCCAGGTTTGAAAATAAGAAATTAAAAATCTGAACCCTAAAAATTCTTTTCCCCCCAAAAAGGTTTGTATAGGGAAGACATGCCTGAACTAGCTAAGAGTATCAGGAATGCAATTACTCATCTATACTCTGCATGGGAAACAAAAAGTGGGCAACCAGATGTGCCAAAATTTTTGGAAAGACTGGATCTGAATGGAGATGCAATCTTCTGGCATACTTTTATTAATTCCACAATCTTTGCATCTACTAATCTAAGTGATGTAAATGTTGAGAGAGCGATGTTACTGTATACCCTTATGGGAGAGAAACTCTCAACATTGCATCTATCTTGTCTGATAGGATAGTGTATATCATCACCCATGGGAGGTCGAATGCCCGCCTTGCACAAAGCTCATTGATTACACGGCTATGCTTGCAAGCAGGCGTGCAGATACCTGATGAGGAGCCATTGGATGTGAAGCCTCCACATCCTATGACCCAAAATCATGTGACGAAATTGCACAATGAGTCTACGAGGCAAACACTGTGGAGAGCTGCACATGGACCGGATGGAGCTACAGATGCACCTGCACCACCACCTCAACCATCTCCTGAGCATGAGCCAGAGCCAGCACCGGTACCAGCAGCAGCACTGTATAAGGATTTTCCTGCCTTTTGAGCCATGTAGCGTTAGATACAGAGATTGACAGTTCAGAGCGAGTATTCGTTGTTGATGCTCGAGAGGCTATGCAGTGATCGAGGGATTGATACTGCGAGTTTCAGGCCACAGATGTCACCACCTTCATCATCTCTGGAGCAGTATAGGCCTCCCACTACAGCTACAGATGATGCCGATGCCACCATGGAGGACCTTTAGATTTAGCTTTCTATGTCACACACTTCACCATTTTGTCTTGACTATAGTATTTTGTTGTTTTGGTATTTTATCTTGGTTATGTCTCTTCATACTTTTTACTGTTATGATCATTCTGATTGACGTTAACAAGTGTGTGTGTGTGTTCCACTTGTGCAAAAGTAGCTTCACTCAACTAGTTTAGTTTATTGCTGAGGACAACAACATTCTAAATCTGAGAATTGGGCGTATACCATATGTGATAACTGCTAACTGCGGAATTGCGCAACAGAGACGTCTAACAGAAAAAATTTCTGTTAAAAAAGGGAGACATTTTAACCTTTCTTTTTATTATTTTTTGCTGTTTTTAATTCATTTTTGTTTTTAATTCAATTTTTTTTTAGAAAAAGAAAACAAAAAGTAATGAATTCCTGAACAAGCATTCATGGATTTTGCAAAAGCTTACTCAACAATTAAATAGTTTGAATCATAAGAATCACATGTGATATTTGTGGAGCATCAAATTATTGTTATAATCTGAGAGTGATGATTGCTCGTTTGTATAACTTCCTTGGTGAATAATTTTTAGATATTGGTTGATGCGAAATTTTGAAATTGGATTCTAGCTTGAATTTATATCTGTGAGGATTGAGCCTAAACAGGGAAAAATATCTCAAAGAGGCCTCACTGTAGTAGTCTTCTAGAACTTGAACTGCTTCTCTAGCTTGCATGCATTACTGATATGATAAAGGCACATTTATTCTTGTTAACTTAGAGTCAAATAGCCTACCTGGAAAGAATTTTCCATTGTTAAGCCCTTTTG